TTTTTCTCTCATTCCCTCCTTTTTTCCTTATTTCTCTCCTTCTCTCCTTTTTCCTCTCCTTTTTTCTTTATTTTTCTCTCCTTCTCTCCTTTTTTCCTTATTTCTCTCTTTTTCCCTCCTTCTCTCCTTTTTCCTCTCTCTATTTCTCTCCTCCCCTTTTTATGTCCCTTTTTCCTCTCTCTTTCTCTAGCTCTCTCTTTTTCTCTCCTTCCCTGGCTTCCACCTCTCTCTTTCCCCCGCTTTTCCCTCTCTTTTTTCCTCTCCTTATTTTCACTGTTTCTCCCGCTTTTCCCTCTCTCTTTTTCCTCCCTTCTTCTCCCCTCCTCATCTCTCCCCCGTGCCGGCATCACCCCTCGCTCCCGTTCCGGGAGACCCGGCTGGGGCCGAGCCGGGGCCGGGCGGGGCTGGGCCGATCGGGGCCGAGCCGGGGCCGATCGGGGCCGATCTGGGCTGGGCCGGGCGGGGCTGGGCCGGGCGGGGCTGGGCCGATCGGGGCCGAGCCGGGGCCGATCTGGGCTGGGCCGGGCGGGGCTGGGCCGGGCGGGGCTGGGCCGATCGGGGCCGAGCCGGGGCCGAGCCGGGGCCGATCTGGGCTGGGCCGGGCGGGGCCGATGGGGCCGGGCTGCCCGCCCGCGGGGCCGTGCCGGGCGGAGCCGCCCCCGGGAGGCGGGCTCCCCTCACGGCCGCTATAAGGCGGCGGCGGCGGCGCGGCCGCGCTCACCGGCTGTGGCAGCGCCGCCGCCAGGCCCCGAGGTAAGGGCGGCCCCGAGGTAAGGGCGGCCCCGGTCCCCCGAGCGCTCGCACGGCTCGGGGAGCCTCTCCGGCTGGTCCCCACGCGCCTTTCCCGCGGGGAGGGGCTGGGGGAGCTCGGGGCGGCTCCCCTGTGGGCGCCCCGGCGCGCTGCTCGGCTCCGTTCCTTCCCCTGCGGCTGTTGATCGTTTGTTCAGCCCGGAGCTGCCGCGGAGTTTGAATGTGCCGGGCTCGGTCTCGCACAGCGCCTTGCGGGCACGGCTGTCCTCTTGCGGTGGCCACCCCCGCGTGCTGAAGAGCCGGGACACGGGAGGGGTGAAGATGTGCGAGTGACAGCCCGGCCAGCGGTCCTGGCTTTTCCTGCCGTGCCTCCTTCCCTCTTCATTCGGGAAGTGCCCACAGCCCCGAGCAGTCGGGAGGCAGGTCCGAGTGCGAGCAGGAGCTGTGGGATGCTCTGGGAAGCTCCCCAGATTGCTGAGGGCTTGGACACTGCCCGGCCGTGCTGCGCTCCTGGGCGGGGATGCTGGTCACAGCCTGCAGAGGGTCCTGGGCAGGAGGTGGGATGGGGAGGGTGCGATCCTGCAGCCTGCATCAGCTCCAGGGACAGCTCTGGGTGTCTGGAGCAGGATTTTGGGTGCGTCTCCTTTCCTTCTTGTCCTAACTCCTGTAAACCAGCAGCGACTGGACTCAGTGGATGCCAGGTGAAGGGGTGATGGCCTGCAGGAGTTTTGCAGTGTCGTGGATGCGAATTGCAGTCCCAGCTTCCTCCACGAGTTTTTCGCATGCTGTGCTGTCTGCAGAGAGCGCTGAAGGTGTTTTTGTAGGAGCACGGCGTGGCTTTATTGAGTTTGTCTAGTGGGTCCCCCCACGTTACCTCCCAGCTAATCTGGGTGGGAGTCGGAGCTCAGGTTACAGCAGCTAATCCCAGACTACAGCCCGGTTTGTGGGGCTGTAATCCGTGAGCACAGCCCTCCTCCCCGGCGGGACCTGGAGCCTGGGAGGCCGGCTCGGTTTCGGGTTTTTATTGCCGCGCTGGGGATGCGCAAGGCGCAGGCAGATGGATGCACGTGTGTGCAGCCGCCGTGCTCTCGGCGTGCCGGCGGGCTGAGCATCCTGAGTGCTCCCTAACATCCCCAGGGTGGCTCTGAGCCAGCAGCTGCGATTGTGGTGGCCGTGGTGTCTCCAGCTTCAAGGGCTCTCTGCTGCCCTGTTGCTGCCTCTCTTGTCGGAATCTGACACCCCTCAGCCAGGTTTGAGTTTCTTCTCCCCGAGGTACGTGCTGGAAGCTTGCTGGTGCTGGGTGGTCACAGTACTGTCCTCAATTGGGGTCTTGGGATGTGGAGTGAGCCTGTTCCTCTTGTTTTAGACCATGTGCCTGTCCAGAGAAGCCCAGGCCCACCCATGCTACTTCTGTGGGGTGTCAGGGGGGTAGCAGGGTATTCCTCCTGCTGTGCTCCTCTTCCTGCCCCCAGATACCAGCAGGAGCTGGTGGCCTTTGCCATGGAGCTGGAAGTTTTGTGGCTTTTAGGGAGTTTGCTTTAATTGCTGCTGAATTTTGAAGTACAGGGACTTGGGGATGGTGCTGCATCTCCTGCATGTGAGAGGGTTAGAAAGCGTTTGGGAGCCCCATCCCTCTGTCCCACTTGCAGCCCTGGGATGAAGTGAACATCCCAGGGGATGCATCCACCTTTGCTGCCTGCATCACCAGGGTGGTGCTGGCAGCTCTGGGGGGGGTGGATCAGCCCTTCTGCCCTGCATAGTGTGAGTTAAATTGCTCTCTGGTTTCCAGAGAGCAGCACAGGATCAGCTATCCCAGGATGGAGAGCTGCCACTGGCTCAGCTCCCTATTTAGCCAGTGTTTTAGCAAAATCCCTGCTTAATTTGGTTCGAATCTCAGCTCTGTCTTTCATCAGGCTAGCAAGATGAAAGCCATAGGCCAGATCTCCTCGCAGGGCCAATTTGGGCCTGTTTGTGGAGAGATTTGATCTCCCCTGAATGTGTGCAGGGCCCCCCTCATTGTTAGTGCCACCAGCTTCCCCTCTGTTGGGACAATAGTGCCTTGAGTCCTCTCAGGTAATCTCCCCCCTTATCTCCCTTCTCTTCCGTAGCCTCTGTCCCTGCCAGGCAGGAGGGTGGGAGCTTTGGGACGAGCTGATTATGCAGAAGGAGAAGTGCTGTGTCAACCAACGTCCCTTTTTGGGGAGAGGGTATTCAACACATCCGAGCTCTTCCCGGCTTACTTCCCCTCTGTGCCCCTGGAAACTCTACCAAGAGATCCTGTAGTGGGGTCAGGGATATTTGGAGATCCCCTGTTGCTCTCTGGTCACTTGGCCATACTGGCTTTGCCCCAGACTGGTCCCTTTCCTTCCGGGGCTGTGGTCATGGGAAGAGCATTTGTTGGGGATGGTGGATGCGTCCATGGGTGGGCTGGCTGCCCTGATGGTCTAGCTCAGGTGAGGGGCACAAGGGATCCTCATGAGGGAACAAGAATCCATCTCCTGGAAACCCACCTGTGCAACTTTATTTTGGCATGTCCCAGGCTGGATCCTCCGCTCCAAAACTGGCCTGGCCCAAGTGTGGTGGGCACAGGCCTGTGGCTGGGGGTGGTACTGAAGGTCCCAGGGAGGGGGACAGCATTTTTATACCTCCCCAAAAGCACAAGGGCAATTAGCAGCCCCACTTGGGGTTTTGTGTGAGCCATTAAAGGCCTTTTCTTTCTGCTGGTGAGGAAGTTAACAAGTTGCTTTGTCCACTGCCTGCAGGTAGAAGAAAGCACTGAAGAGGCAGCAAAAATAGATTTATAAAAGCAAAAGGGTGTAACAGAGGCAGTTGTGGAGCTAACCATGATGGGGGAGTGTTTTGAAATCAAAGCACTCTTCAAAAAAGAAAACTTAAGACCAGCAAATCTTCTCAGCAGTCAAGCTCCAAGTTTGTTTTTTTTTTTTTTTCTTTTCTATACACTGTGTAATAATTGTTAAATGCAGGGAATACTTTGTAAAATAGAATTTGAGGGAAGAGGGGAAGGGAGGACAGAGCAGAATTCAAGTTTGGATAGGAGTACAAAGCCCCTCAGTTCCCCACTTCTACTTTATGCATCTGTATGACTTGACAAGATGCTGACCAGAGCCTGTGGTAAATGTTTTACTGTACCATGTATCAGCCAGATCAATTCTACCGTGCTTGAGGGAGTGCAGATAAAATGGCTTAAAGATTCCCCTGCTGAAAGCAATAGGAGCATCATTTATGCCAGAGGAGACAGATTTAGTTGCCTGACATTTATTTGGCCACAGTGTACTTTGCAGATTTCACACCCGGGGACGATAGCCAACCTGATGATGTCAGATGTGAGCTGGAAGAGAAGGAAAAATCACAGAAAATCTAATGCTGCTCCTCTTCTGTCAAGCAGATGAGTTTTGCTAAGTGTTTTGGTTGTTTTACTCCATGGAGTGCTTTAATGGAAAGTGCCTGGCAAGAGCGGGATGTTACTAAAGCAGAGCGTCCTGGTATGACACGGCAGCAGAAATAGCTCCATAATTGACATCATTTCTTTCAATCCTGTTTTGCCTTTAGGTCATTTGAATTCCAGTCCGAGCAACCATGAGCGCGCTTGACTTGACTTCCATCCTGGATTTCCTGGAGACGGCCAACTTGACAGAGATCAACTGGACATGCAACAACGGCGAGTGCATCACGGTGGATGCGACAACATGCCCTGGCACGCTCAACAAGAGCGCCCTGCTCTACACCCTGTCCTTCTTCTACATCTTCATCTTCGTCATAGGCCTGGTGGCCAACTCGGTGGTGGTGTGGGTCAACCTCCAGGCCAAAATGACCGGCTATGAAACACACCTGTACATCTTCAACCTGGCCATCGCCGACCTGTGCGTCGTGATCACCCTGCCTGTGTGGGTCGTCTCGCTCGTCCAGCACAACCAGTGGCACATGGGGGAAATCACGTGCAAGATAACTCACCTGATATTTTCCATCAACTTGTACAGCAGCATCTTCTTCCTGGCGTGCATGAGCGTGGACCGCTACCTCTCGGTCGCCTATTTCACCAACTCCAGCAGCCGCAAGAAGAAGATCATCCGCCGCTGCATCTGCATCCTGGTGTGGCTCCTGGCCTTCTCCGCGTCCCTCCCGGACACTTACTACCTCAAGACGGTCTCTTCCAACAACGAGACCTACTGCAGGCCCGTTTACCCCGAAGATAGCTTCAAGGAGTGGTTGATTGGCATGGAGCTCATCTCTGTGGTGCTGGGCTTCCTCATCCCCTTTCCCATCATCGCCGTGTTTTATTTCCTCCTTGCCAAGAGCATCTCCACCTCCAGCGACCAGGAGCGGAAAAGCAACGGGAAGATCATCTTCTCCTATGTCGTGGTGTTCCTGGTGTGCTGGCTGCCCTATCATGTGGCTGTCCTGCTGGACATCTTCTACAGCCTTCATTTCATCCCCTTCAGCTGCCAGATGGAGAACTTCCTCTATGCCACCCTCCACATCACTCAGTGTTTCTCCCTGGTCCACTGCTGCGTCAACCCCATCCTGTACAGCTTCATCAACCGCAACTACAGATACGAGCTCATGAAAGCCTTTATTTTCAAGTACTCTGCCAAAACTGGCCTCACTAAACTCATCGACGCCTCCAGAGTGTCAGAAGCAGAATACTCAGCTCTGGAACAAAACGCCAAATGACTGCCCCAGAAAGAAACATCTTTGACTCTCTGACCTGATGGGGTTTTTTTGTGTGTTACAGTTTGTTGTTTATTTTTTTTTTTGACCCCTTCCTTTCAATGTGCTTGTTACGAACGCGGCGTGAATTCCAGCCTACAAAAGAGAGAGGACAAAGTGTAATTTAAGAGTAGGATCAGTTGCAAAGTGGAAGTGGTACCAAAATGAAGACCTTTTCTCCTCCTAGACCAGTGTGGACTCCTCAACAACGCTATGCAAATGGAAATAACTTCCTAGCAGACAAAGCCATTGTGTACCATAGATAACATGAATAAGCTTCTCCTTCCACGTCTTGATTCCCTCTTGTCTCCTTGTATATGTTTATATATATAGTGTGTTGTATTTAAAAGCTCAAGACTTTATTTTCTGCCTCTTGATGTACCTTATACAAGTGTATTTGAAAGTTAAATATATTTTTATCATGTATTTGAAATATATTGCTGATGAGTGTATCCAGAGTGCTGTAGTCTGAGTGTTAGGTGGCCGTTTGGCTCCAAGAGGATGCTGATAAATAGGATAGAAATGATCTCTTGAGAGCATCCTCCCTGGCTGGCACACTTTATGGACCATGGCTTTATGTGGTGTCACACCCACATGCTGGAGCATGAAATATATGTAGTGTAATATAGCTGCCATCATGTTAAAATTAACAGTATTGTCAGAGTCCTTAACTCCTACACCCCTGCTTCACCAGGCTGTATCCTCCTGCACAGAGTGAGTGATCTTACTGCTGAGAGTTGTCTCTATTTGTAAGTTATTTTTGTAAAATAAAGATCCGAGGAAAAAAATCCAAAACCTGTGCCTCCCAGTGGTTTGACTTGCCAGTCTTCTCCTCAGGTTAAAAAAAAAAAGTCAAAAAGGAGAAATCTCAAGGCCATCTCAGTCCTTTGGTGCAGAAGCAGACAGATCAGTCAGTGTTTTCTGGTGTTTGGTGGCCAGAAAGGACTGATGGAGGAATGGGAGTTGGCACTGGAGCATGGTGAGCAGGGAAGGGGCGGGAGGAATGGGTCTTTGCTGGTGGGGAACGTGAAAGTGATGCCTTTATGAGATAAAAGCTGGTAGGAATGATGAAAAGCTGTGTTTGTAGCTTAGAAATAAACACAGGGAAGGAAAATTCGGAAGCGTGCAGATGGAGCGGATATTTGGACTAATCCAGGTTCAGCCCTCTGTGGTTTTTGCTGGCGATGGAATTGGGGGTTAGCGGTCCTGACAGCACTAAATCCCTTTTTATCTCTTCTCCCCCTTGTTGGGGATTTGCAGTGCCGTAGTGTCCGAGTGGGGCAGGATCCAGGCGCTCTGGGATGCCTCAAGTGGAGCTTTAAACCAGCAAAGGATTTGAATCGTGGTGTTCACCTCAGGACAAGGTATTTAATGTCAAATCAAT